CACTAGTGCAAGAGATGGGCCATTAGGGACCCCTAAGTCTGTCTCCATTATTATGTACCTTCAGGAACCTTATGGTGTCTCTCTGGATCATGGTGGTTCCACAAGCTGGTGGTCCCAATGTGTAACCATGTTTCCTGTAAACACACAAAGCGACCTAAGTTGTGTTGCTGCTCCCCACTCCACCCCATTTCTATTTACTTGACTTACCATTTAGTTCAGCCTGCTTTTCCAGCTTCATCTGCCACCTCTAAGACCACCTCCATGCACATTATGCCACCTCTGGGCAGATAAATTTGGAAATGGTACATTCTCTGTGTAATTGTAGCCTTCTAGGTTTACAACTTGGGTAGGGAACTGAGTTTTTGTGGGAAGAAAAAGACACATCTTCCTCCAGCTGTCAAAGCCCTCTGCCAAGGCACATGGCTTGGAAAAGAGAATAGGGGCTGTTTTACACCCCCACTGGTACCTTGGCCAGGAGCCCTGTGCTAGGCTGCTAACCGAAAGGTCAGCAGTTGGAACCCACCAGCCACTCTGCAGGAAAAAGATGTGGCAGTCTGCTTCTGTAAAGATTTACAGCCTTGGAAACCCCATAGGGCAGTTCTACTCTGTCCTACAGGGTCACTATGGGTTGGAATTGACTCGACAGCAGCAGGTTTGGTTCTGATTTAGTGCCTTAGCTGGGTGGATACCTTTGTGTAGGACACAATTACAAAACCAAATGCAACGGCATCATGCACTCCCTATCACATAACAATCTCATTTCTAGGCAGATTCAGAGGAATTTGCACACAGGTTTATAAGGGGCCACCTACAAATGTGGTCATCACTGCATTGTTTGCAGTATTGGCGAGCTGGAGGCAGCCTTGGTGTCCATCACTTGGGGAATGGAAGTAAAATGTGGTGGATGCACAATTTGCAGCCCTCAGAAGCAAAGAAGGGACTCACGATACCAACTGCAACAAGGATAAATCCTCAAAAAGAATGTTGAGTGAAAAAAGTAGAAAATAAGATGATCTTCAAAGTCTAATACTATTATTAAAATAATTTTTAAAAACCACTAATAAAAATACCATACACATCCAAGCACAGTAGCATAGCTGTCTGTGGGAGTGGGAGTAGAGATGGGGATGAAAGGGAAAAATAAAATCAAGAGAGGGGTCTTTCACATTTCACGAACCAAGGAGTGTAATTACTTCAACTCTCTGCACCTGAAGTACAAACGGGGCAAAGAAAGGAGTAGAAAAAAAAAAATGCCTTAGAAGAGGAACCCCAGATGCTATGGAGGTTTTCACGATGTGGCTCCACATATATTTTTCCATTGTGCCTCGAGCTCTGCACCCTATTTTTTCTCACCACTAGAGGCTGGGAAGTCTTTCAAGGCAGGGTTTGTGTTTTCTGCCCCTTGGTTTTCCCTCCGTGTCGTGCACACGCTAGCTACTTCATATGGGTTGAAGCGACTCGAATGACTCGATTTCTTGTGCCCTTGACCGAGTTGCTTTGTTACAGAGAGCAGAGGGTAGCTGCCGGTCTTTCCCTTATCCAGAACCCTCTGACCCACATTTCCTTACAAGGTCCGTTCGTGGCTCTCAATTACTGACTCCAAATCCTCCTCACGGTTCTCTTTCTGGGATGCCTCTACCTATTCGCTCTCTCCTTTCTCTTGGGTGTTTCTAACTTCTGCGCACACCTGGGAACTCCTCCCAGCTTCTCAGAGGTACCGCCTCCTCATTTCCTTGGCCCCGCATCCTTGGAGGGGATATTTGCATATTTCTCCGCGGAATACGACCCAGGGGCGGGCTTCAGACGCTCCGCCTCTTTCGAACATCCACTAGCGCCCCTAGGGGGCGTGGCGGTTGCCAGGCGACGGGAGGACGCGCCGAGCGCCGGTTTCGGCCGGGCGGGGCCTAGAGATAACGTGGCGCGATTTTAGACGCTGGGGATAGCTAATAGCCCCTTCCCCAGAGTCCAGCCTAGTTTCCGGGATTTCCACAGCAGCCTCTGAGGCCGCACCCAGAGAGCATCAGGATGGCCGAGGTCAGGAGTCAGCGCCCCTCTCTCTGTCGCCTCTTGCTCGCCGCTCCCCACTGTACCTTCTCTTACTGTCAACTCATCCCTTTCACATTCACTGATTCCAACATTTCCCTCATCGACATCCCATCCTCGCTGTCAGCCTCCCGTGCCCCTAATCGGCTCTGGTTCGCATTACTTCCTGCCGCTTCAATTCTGTGGACATATCCGCTTCTCCAACTATTAAACTGTCGCTGTGCTAGGCGTGGTGGAAATTCATGAGTTCGCAGACCCACACACGGCATGCACCCACCCCTAAATTTTGAGCCATAAGTTGATACCACAAGAGAAGTGCGCACAGAAGTGTTGGAGACGTCCCACCTGACTGGGGGGATCTGGAAGAAGACTTGATATATACCATTGTCACCCCCATTCACTGACCCTGTCCACACTGATTCCCTATTATCTGATCACCCGCTGTCACATATCTTCATTAAGGCCCTTCAGCCAGTCACCACTGCCCCGTCATTCACTGACCCCTGTGTTATTGTAGCCTCCATTCACTTCTTCATATTATAGTCCCACCCCATCTTCAGCCTCACTAATGAGGGGGCATTTCCACAACCCTTCAATGACCACTGTCTGTTCATTATAGCCCCGACAACCTCAGGTGCCTGTCATTCACCTGCCATTCACTTGGCCATTCACAGTCTCCATCCACCCCCTATTCTGCACTCGCATAGCTTTACCCAAGTTGATCCTTACCACATCGGAGCCTCCCTGCCCTCCCCGCATCTCACCTATCATGGTCACTCTCAGCCAGGACCAGCTGCATAATTTGCAGGGCTGAGTGCAAAATTAAAATGTGGGGCCCTTTGAGCAAAGATTATGAAGACAGTAGAGCATTAAGCCAAGGGCAGGGCCTGTCTAAGTACAATGCCCTGTGGGATTGCACAGGTCACACACCGATGAAGCTGGCCCTGGTCCCAGCTTCTCTCACTACCCTCAAACCCCCATCCCTATTCTAGTTCTTTCCCTTGTCTCCTCCATACCATTCACATCTCCTCATCATTCCATCTCCTCCATTTCTAGTCTCCCTTTATAAGCCCCAACTTCCTGTGGTCAGTAGCCCCCTCCTTTCCTATCGTCTAGTCCCTTTCTACCCTCCATTGTCTTGACTCCCTGGGTTCCATCACTCTCACCTGTCTCTGACATCCAGGCTCCTGTGGCCCTATTACTTCCCCCCACCCCATTACCCATGCTCACTAGGATCTCTTTTTGTCCCATTTTCTCCTCCAGTTCCTGCTCGTTCTCCTTCATTTTTTATTTGTCTTGAGTATTTCCTCCTTTTCTCCCCAACTAGACATCTTGGTTTATTCCATTCTTCTTAATTCCCTATACATAAGCCCCCAATGCCAATTCTATGAGCTAATTATTTCCCAGTCTACCTTCCCTTTCATTATGCCCTCTCATTTCTTCCTTTCTTCTATTTTTCTTACTTGACCTCAACCAAATTTTCCTTTCCTTTGCTTTCACAATTTCCCATTTCCACTCTGGCTTCTTTCATTGCAGCTCAACTTCCCTTTTTCCTTTTCCTTCTCCCCACTAGTTGGTATTCCCAACACCTAGAACAGTGAGTGTCTGGCACACAGTAAACAGTAAACCAAACAAAAATCAAACCCACTGCTGCTGAGTCGATTCTGACTCATAGAACCCTATAGGACACAGTAGAACTGCCCCATAGGGTTTCCAAGGAGTGGCTGGTGGATTCAAACTGCCAACCTTTTGATTAGCAAGTGTTGAAGAAAGGCTATCACAGTTCCTCTCTAATCAGTCAGTGTTGTAATTGTGCTTTTGAAACATGCCATTATGGGCTATAATGGTGTAGATCCCAACTATATGCTGGTCACAACTAAGAGATTTGTGTTTGTTTTCCTTTTAATAGTCGTATGTGTTTAATAACAGTATAAACAAGTTTCTTTTGTTTATAAAAGTTTCTTTAAAACTTTTCTTTTTGGGATATTTTTCCATTCTTGTGATAAGTGACAAGTATACCGGGAGAACCTGGCCTACAAACAAATCACTATGCTGGTAATCGGGTGTTGATATTAATACCATTTACAGGGATGGAACCAAGAACATTGCCAGGATAAATTCATGTGTGTGCTCATGTTTAGTATCAACACGGGGAAAGCACAGAGCAGTGGTACCACCGTATTTCCCTAATATGATTTTTGCTCCTTTGTGGAATGGCTACATTGCAATAATCTGCTTTTAGTCAGGAAGAAAACCTCTGCTTAGTTCAAAATTAGTATTAACATTGTTATACGAAATGGTGTAGATATGCTTGTGACTCCACATCTATTTTAGGGATAATCTCCAAAGATTGTGTTTTGTTTGCAACTCATATCTAGAGATTTCATTAACAGTGCAAGTGTTTTTGAAAACCAAAAATATGCACACTTGTCGAAGCAGAAGGTAAACTAGACTACTTGCCCAAAATCTTCAGAGAGAATTAGAATTTTGCTCTACTGTTAGAGATTGTCACCATTGCTTTCTTTGATTAGCAATAGAGTTTTGATACCAAAGACTTTTCGGGGAGTGTGTGTGTGTGTGTAGAATATCAAAGCATAATGTTGCAAACATAAGTAAGACCTTACAAATCTTATCAGTCCTTTGCTCAGAAATCTTGAATGGTTGTCTGTGGCCTGCAGAATACTACGCTCCATATTCTGTAGAATGCCATTCATGGCCTATCCCTAACTCCCTGTTTTTTAGCCCATTAATATAATCCTTATTAATTCCTCGAGGTGGGGAATTTTACTATCCCAATAGCGTTAATTATTAACGTATCAGTCAATGAAGAAGAAGCCTTCTCCACTCCACAGTCTTAATTTCTTCTTGTCTTTCATTCATGGAGTAATACTAGTAATTCCTTAATAGTAATGGTGTAAGTGTCGGAACGTCCATTCCACCTTTGCTCTTTTGTACAGGAAAAGACTGAAAAGCTAGTGCTGGAAGAAACTGCATTTGAAGAAATTGAAAGGGATTTTCAGGAGGTTCTCAATGAACTTTCAGGGGATAAAAGTCTGGAGAAGTTTCGGATTGAATATGAGAAGCTTCATGCTGTAATGAAGAGGTCTTACGACAATGAGAGGCGTCTGCTGGCCAAATGCAGAGAGCTAAATGCGGAGATTGTGGTTAACTCTGCGAAGGTCGCCACTGCCCTGAAGCTCTCTCAAGATGATCAGACCACCATTGCATCCCTGAAGAAGGTCAGTGATCTTCTAGAAACAAAACCAAAAGAGAGCTGCCATAAGTGCATCCTGTATTTAAAACATCATTATATTGGCAGCTCTAGGCTGGTAGTAAATGGGTTACTAAGGAAAAATGTACATGATTCATATATTCATTAAGCCTAGGGAGTAATGTTCATTTTCAAAGAAAATAATTAGCCTGGGTGAATTTCATCTTGCAGAAAATAATGTAGAACCTTACTGGCTTGGTTTCTGGGAAATAATGGGTTAGCAAAAAGAATTAAAGATAAGTAAATGCAATATTAGGAATCTCAAGATGTCTTGTTTGGTGTAAGATGAGTAACTGAATATTGTATGATAATAGCTTGTTAAAGATATTTTCACCATTTCTACTTTTTCTAAAGTTTTAGGAGATTAATTCAACAATTCCCAGACAGTAATTTTCATGATTTTTTTTCCTTTGTTTCTCCCTTGATCCTCCCAATTCCTCATAATGAGAGAACAGGGGTTCAGTCTTGGGGGACAGAGAGGAAACGTGGTTTTGTTTTACACTTTATTTTTTCATCCTCAAGCGTGTTATATTATTTTGAAAGTAAAGCTGATACATGTTCCTTGTTGATATCAAGGTGACATGCGGTTGAGACATTCTAATTTACAATTAAGATCTTAGTTACAAGAGATAATTTACAACATTGTAAGACCATTCCCTTGATATCATTGAACTAGATGTCACCCAATTCAGATGAATTTCCAAGACCAGTACAGAATATGGCTTATCTCTTTTCTTAGGAACGACTTTGTTTTTTTTTTAGTGCTAAACTTTGTACTGTCATTTTCTTCTTCTCCTTGTTGAAAAAACCAATATAAGAAGGCTTCAGTTCGTTTCATGACGGTAGGAAGACAAAATAAAACAAAACAAAAAAACGCTTTTTGTATTAAATTTAAAAACTGGAAATAGAAATCATGAATTGACCAAAATCTAATTGGTGATGTTGATTTGGACAAAGCTTCATATAATCATATTTTTCTTTAAATATCGTTCATTTGTTTTGCCGGAAATAATACCAATGGTTGCTACAGAAGAACATCTCCCACAAACTGGCATTTTGTTTCAAACCACTAAATTACGTGCTACTGTTACCTAAGCGACATCTCTCTCTCTAATGTAAATAGAGGACATGGATTTATTAAATTAATACATTTAATCTCTAACTCACTTTATTCCTTGTGAACATAAAAATGGACTGTTTTTACCTAAAGCTTGCATAAGAGACCCACATTTCACTTGACAAAATTTGGCAAAAAAGTTAAGTTGTGGTATCAAATTCAAGGCTGTTGCACCACTTACTGTGTTTACTCTCTTACTCATATGACTATATTTCACTTTTAGTATTTATTTTAATATTCTACATTGTATTTTATAACAGTAAGGAGGCCAAAGCTGTCTGAGTCATTGTTTCCATTCTCTGCTATGGTTTTCGGTTTTTCCCCTATAAGCGTTGGGTGAGAATGCCTGTGGATGGGTTTCTGGAAATGGGAATTACCAAGGTTGTTGTGCATGATTACGTCCAGAAAGGACCGTGTTGCTCTGGATTGTTCTAAAGCTCACACTGCCATCTAGGAGCTCACTTGGGACCTGAGGACAAGATGTATTTTTTATTTGGAATCTATCAAGAACTTAAAATTTAGGACTTGGATCTATGACCGTTCCTTATGTGATAAAGCTTATTATTTTTTTTTCTAATAAATATCGGGAGTAGGAAAACACATAAGCTTTCCTTGTTAATTTTGCAAGCCTATCTTAACATCTTTGTTAGAGATAGTCCCTCTAGTTATACAGCCCTTGCAGTATGTGAGCCTTGTAGCTCTACTCACCTATACAAGAAAAAATACCCTTTGTCAGGCCACCTCCTTAAATGTGCTGTTCAGTGTTGACTAGCTCATGTCAAACAACTCAATAAGTCAATACAAATTTAATGCATCGTATATTATTTTTTCCCTAGAAATAACTACTATTTTGTAGTCGTGGTATTGTTCTGTTTACTCAGCTTATCTTGAATTGGACCCCAGTTTGGTTTTTCTCACTGATATCCCGTGGCCCCTCTAGGAAATTGAAAAGGCCTGGAAGATGGTGGACTCAGCCTATGATAAGGAGCAGAAGGCAAAGGAGACGATTCTTGCGCTGAAAGAGGAAATAGTGAACTTGAGCAAGCTAGTCGAGCAAGGATCTGGACTGTCAATGGACCAGGATAGCAAGTAGGTCGTAGCCTTCTTGATGCATGTTGAACTTATTTTGCAGAGGCCTCCTTCTTCAACAGAGATCCTGGGGTTTGCCAGTGTCTTCTTGAACATTCTCTGTGATATAAGATTCTCCTTCCTTGTTGGGTTCCTGGAGATTGTTTTCTGTCATTGCTGTTTTTTTCTTTTTAATACTCCCTTCCTCCACACCCCAGAACTTCTAATTCGTGGTTATGTTAAACTTCTGGGTCTAAAAGAATTATTATTATGGTCTCAAAACCAGTAAAGATTTTAGGTTTATTTCTCTCAAACTTGTGTAGACTAGAACTGACTGCCTTTCTGCCCAGACTCCCAGCTCCTTCCATATACTTCCTATGATAAGTTGTATCATCCTCCTCTCTACCTCTTTAGGATCTAGACCAGAAAACAGATTTGTTCTCCACCCCTGCATTCCCTCATCACTTAAAGCTTAGTGCTATTGACTTGGTCTTTTAAGTCTCACTTTGGTCTTTCCATCCTCCCTATTCCCAGTGCTACTGCCTTGATTTATACCCCCTATTCTCTGCTGGATTTGGCAGTAACCTTCTAACTGATCTCCCTGCCCCTCTTTATTTCATCCTCCACGTTGCTTTTGAAACACAGACCCGCATGCACCCATCGCTACCATAAACACCTTCAATAGCTACCCAGGTCCAAAGGATAAAGCCCAAACTCTTGAGCTTGTCTTTCAGAGCCCTTCATAGATCTGCCTCAACCAGCCTCTCTCGCCTCGTTTCAAGCTATACCATGCTTGTTCATGCCTTCATACTTTTGCACATGCTGCTTTCTGTGCACTGAATGCCTTTTATAAACTCCTCCACACAGTAAACTCCTATTCGTCCTTCAAGACTCATTTCAAACACCATCTTAATTTCATCACCATCAGCATTCCTGTTCCAACCTTGCCTCTCAAACTCTCTGCCCACCACCACCCCAATGACCAGGCCGAAAGACACTGTGTTCTCTGTTCCCATAAGACCTGACACTTCTAGTGTGGAACTGATCGCAATGTATTAAAATTATTTGTTGATGTGCATCTCTACCCACTGGGCTGTGAACTCCTTGAAGGAAGATACCTTTACTCCCCTCCAGGAGTCTAGCACTGTGCAGGGCACGCACAGCACTGAATGAAGTAATGAGTCAGGAATGAGCATTCACTTCCTTGGGCATCCTTGACCAAATCTAAATGCTCTCTAGGCTGCTTATGCTTTTTAGATACATTTATCCAACTTTGATCAACAGCGCAGGTGTTGGGGGGAGGGGAAAGAGAATAGAAAAAACAACAGAAAATGTGATTCCTGTAATGATGGACTCTCTTCTTATTAAAGATGTCAAATACATTCAGAACAATTAAGCAATACTTAAGAGCAGTGTGAGGCAACTAAAACAGATACGAGGTGTTCCGTAAGAATTGAACAGGGTTAAGGAGCACAGACTGCTAAGCAAAAGGTCGGCAGTTGGAATCCACCAGCCGCTCACTGGAAGCTCTATGGGGTAGTTCTACTCTGTCCTATGGGGTAGCTATGAGTCGGAATCGACTTGACGGCAATGGGTTTGTTTGTTTTTTGATTTTAAGGAGCACAGAAGAAACCATTCAGCCCAGAATTAGAGCTTCTACATTGTGCTCAAGTGTAGCTGTTTATCTGCAGAGTAACCTTAGAATTTGAGGTGTTGTTTCTGGGGAAGAAGAGTTTGAGTGAGGTTTGGAAGGTCCCTTATTAAACATTTATGTTATATCAGAGTTGTTGGTAAATAGACACTGTCAAATTACTCTGTTTTGAGCAGTTGTTTGATGACTGTCAGCTGCAAGAGTCTGGAATGCAAGTTCTCTACTTTCTCAGCTCTAAATTGTCTGGCTTGCTCTAGATTAATTCTGTAGCTGAGGTCATATCAGTTAAATTTTTCCACTCTCTAAACACTAATTCTTCAGAAAGTCAAGGCAAATAATATGTCAGGGCTTTCGCAATATGAGGTAAATAGTTTACAATTCAAATCGATGAATATTATCACACACCTTCCAAACATTGGCATCATGAATGATTTTCCAAATCTTGTTCTTGGGGACCTTTTATCTAGGTTACATCCCTTTGGGAGAAACTAATCTCTTTGGGTGAATGGATGGAACACTTGCACTGCATATTATTTACTTATGATTAGGCTTCATTTTGGACTTTATAGCTGGGATCATAATCCTCCAGTGGATATATTAAACAAACAATTTCCTAAATTGACATCTCCTTAGGGTTAATTACAAGTGTTGATAATAATAATATAGTTTTGTTGTAAAAGTCCAAATAATATAGAGGTGTGGAAAGTAAGGAATAAAAATCATCCCCTCAACTATTCCACCCTGAATTCCACTCCTTACAGGTAACCAGTTACCCATTGGTGTTTATTTTTCTGAACTTCTAGAAAAATACCTAAAAGACACATACACACACACAGACACACACACACACACTCAAACACAGCTAGCTACTGCATTTTCTTAAATATAAAAAAGGGACGTTATACATGTTATTATCAGAACTTCTTTTTCAGTTAACATATCTCAAGCAGCTCCTCCGGTCAGGGTATAAAGATCTTTCTCTTTATTTCCTAAATAGTGTTAATCATTGACCTGAAGTCTTTTCTATGAAATGAGCTCGCGGGATGATAAAAGGACCCCTAAGCAGATGGCCACTTAGTCTGATTCCTGTTTTCTTCTTTTTTTTAGTATCCGAGATTTACTGAAGTTCAAAGAAGAAGTAACGAAAGAGAGAGACCAGCTCTTGACAGAAGTGGTGAAATTACGAGAGTCCTTAGCTCAGATCACTGAGCAGCAGCAAGACACGGAGCGATCAAGAGATGAGGCAGAGCAAACCATCAGTCAGGTCTGCTTAACCATGGAGGGAAAGATGAAGGTGTATTACCTTCCAGAAGGACGATTTGTCCTTCCTCAGGCTCCCTTCTCTTCTTGGTCCTCTCTCAAATTTACCTCCTTATGCCCAAGTGAAGGAGCCCTAATGGCTGCTAACCAAGAGCTCTGCGGTTTAAACCCACCAGCCACTCTGCAGTAGAAAGATGTGGTAGTTGGCTTCCATAAAGATTTACAGCCTTGGAAACCCTCCGGGGCAGTTCTACTCTGTCCTATCGGGTTGCTGTGAGTTGGAATGATTCAACCACAACATGTTATGCCCAAGTGAAGCATCCGCTATTCTGCCCAGTATTTGTCTGGTTTGTTGCTGCAAGAGCAGGTTTCTTTCTTAATTTTCTCTGTCTGAGAAGTCGCCAAGGCAGGGACTCCCTGCTTACAATTCTGGTCCAAGAAGGTGTTCCCTGTGAAGGCAAGGAGGCCCTGCATCTAGAGAGGATGGAAGTAGTTCCTTTAGCCCTTCTCCCTTATAAGGGAGCCATCCAGCTGAATCCATCTGAAAACATTTACATAAAGCCAGAAGTCAAACAGATAACAAACAAGGTATAGTCTCCAGGGGAAAATGTGAGGCTTCCTTGAGCACGAAATTTAACAGAAAAGCTTTTCATAGATTTTGAACATCATTATAAAACTATAATGCTTTGTTTAGCAATATCCAGGACTCGTGTTAAACACAATTTCATATTTATGATATAAACCCAAACCAAACCCACTGCCATCCAGTGGATCCTGACTCATAGAAACCCTGTAGAATAGAGTAGAACTGCCCCATAGGGTTTGTAAGGCTGTAAATCTTCACTGAAACAGACTGCCACATCTTTCTCCTGAGGAGCAGTCTGGTGGGTTCCAACTGCTGACCTTTCCATTAGCAGCCAGTGTTTTAAACAGTTCACCAGGGAGCCTTATATTTAGGATACCAAAAACCAAACCTAATACGTTACTGTTGATTCCGACTCATAGAGACCCTACAGGGCAGAGTAGAACTGCCCCATGGGTTACCAAGGAGCAGGTGGTGAATTCGAACTGCTGACCTTTTGGTTAGCAGCCTGAGCTCTTAACCACTGCACCATCAGGGCTCCCTATGTTTAGGATAGCTGATTGCATTTTATTTAGTCCCTGTTGATGAATAATTCAGTAAATTCTTTCTGTGTTTAACTTCCCTAAAACCCTGGGCTTCCATATTTAATTGGAATTTCTTCTGTCCTTTCTGGACTTATTGTCTACCATTAGGGTGGGTGTTGGGTATCAAAACCCTGATAAACAATATACAATATTCTGTGGCCTTCAGAAGTTTGAACATTGGTGCTCAAAGATGGTTGTCCTACAGGAGAAACGCTACTCCAAAGTGACTGCCCTCAAGATGAAAGACCTCAGAGAGGGGGAAGCTTGGCTGGTTAAGCCCTGCCATGGTGAGGGGTTCATCTCTTCCTTCCTTTGCCTTTCTGTGACTGTAGTTCCAACAAGAAATCCAACTACGCCAGAACGAAGCTTCGCGAGAATCTCGGAAGAAGGAAAAACTAGAGAAAGAGCTTAAGCAGATTCAGACGGACATGGACTCCAAGCAATCGGAAATTAAGGCTCTTCAGCAGTACGTGCAGAAAAGCAAGGAGGAGCTCCAGAAGCTGGAGCAGCAGCTGAAGGAGCAGAAGGTGCGTTGAGGGTGGGTCTTTCCTTGGTTCTCTGGAGATCAAGAACGTTGCCTTTATTCGTGCCCTCTACAGCGTTTTGAATTTTCTCTGGAAAGCGGCAGATTCTCTTCAGTACTGACGTTGGTGACACGGCGCTTAACACTGCGTTTGGTTTTTGGCTCTTATAGGTAGGTATGCCCTCCTTTTTTCCCCCCACTCCAACAGGTAAATTAATTTCTTTTTAACATTGATATGTAATATGCACACAAATACATATCACAATGTAAAGCCTGATGAAATTTCACCATTTGAACGCACCTTGGAAACCTGCAGCTAGCTCAAGCAACAGAACATTACCAGCACCCTAGAATCCCTGTGTGCTCCTCCCAGTCTCTATCTCCCAGAAACGTCGTCTCTATCCTGAATTCTAAGCAGAGATTAGTTTTCTTGTCTTTGTACTTTACAGAAAGCAAATCATACAGGATACACTTTTTTGTGTCTAATTTCTTTCGGCCAACATGATGTTTGTGAGAGTCAATTCCTGTTGTTGCAATGTGGCTATAGACCTGGGCTGTCTAATGTGGTAGCCACTGCCACGTGTGGCTATATACACGTTTACATTTAAATTAATTAAAATGAAATAAAAAAATTCGGTTTCTCACTTGGACTAGCACCATTTCGAGTGCTCAGTAGCCATAGTGAATACAGTGTCAGACAGTGCAGATACGGGCTTTCCATCATTATAGAAGGTTCTGTTGGCTGGAGCTTTATAGACCATTTATTGTCATTGCTGTATAATATTTCATTGTATGAACGTAGTATGACTGACTTTGTCGCTGGTTTATTTTTAAGTTTCAAGTTAAGAAACCATACTCAGTTTTTATGCATTTTTAATAAAGTACTGATTTTTTTTTAAAAAACATTTCACTATTATAGTGGTTTAAGGTAATGCAAATATTGATAATTCTAGTCTATCTTCTTCAAGAAGTAATTCCTGTAACTGGAAAAAAAAAAAAGTGATTTCTTGAAAAGATTTCCTCTTAGGAAGCTTGTCTCCAAAGAATTGTCAAGTCATATAGTATTTTTCTACTTAAAAACAATCTTTGTCAGTTGCTTTAGTAATTTATACAAATTGATAATACATGAGGTGCAGTCTGCAGGAGGAAAACATGAGACATATTTGAGCATGAAATTTGAGAGGCTTTTCATAGAATTTTTATGATAAAACTATAGTGTTTTGTTTAGCAATACCCTATAGTTTTACAAAGCAATATCTGGGACTCATATAAAACACAGTTTTATTTTTAGGGTAGCCGGCTACATTTTATTTAGTACCTATTGATAGAGAACTGGATGGATTCTTTCCATATTTAACTGTTGTATGCATGCAAGTTATATTTTAGAGCAAGTGCCTCAACTGCCTTCTCTCCTCTTTTTTTTCCCTTCAGCACATTTGCTCCCCAGTATTTCCCCAATAGGAATGACTCCCCCCACGCCCCTCAAATACAATCCTCTTTTTATAAAACCGTGTCTGCTCAGGATGATCAAGGCAGGGAAGAAGAAATCTGACTGGTACTGAAATCAGGCAGATATAAATCACTATACTGCTGCTCCAAGGTTTTGACTTAAGTTGGATTAAAGAGGAATTGGCTATGTGTTGGTGTTAGTGAATGGTACTGTTCAAGAAAATGTCGTAGGCATGTTAATACAGGATTTGCTTCTGAAGATGTAGCTCCCGAGCCCCACAGATGATAAAACCCATTTGAATCCCTAGCTCATTTGCAATGATTATAGCAATTGTTGCGTACGTGAAGTCTGCCAAGTGGCAAACAGGCATTAAAATATTTATCCACCACCTGTGAACAAGACTTCCCAAGGCTCTCAGAAAAAAAAAACAACATTACGCTCACTGTGTTAGTCATTAGAAGGCGTCACTTTCCTCAGCCATTTAACATTCACGTTTGAGTGCATTTGTGCTTTCCTCAGGGGTAAAGAACAGTTGCTACAAAGACAAAAAACCGTGCTTGCTGTTATCTTCCCAGGAGGTTTGTGGGGCCTCCTATGTGTATATGCAGATATTGTAAGCAGATTGTAAAAAGCATTAACCAGCTCATTCCACATCTTTCAGATACTGAATGAGAGAGCTGCGAAGGAACTGGAGCAGTTTCAGATGAGAAATGCTAAACTTCAGCAGGAGAACGAACAACACAGTTTGGTTTGTGAGCAGCTTTCCCAGGAAAACCAGCAGAAGGCGTTGGAGCTCAAAGTAAACACAAAGTGATAGTCTGTTCCCTAACACTCCCTCCCTCATTACCTGTTAACGTAGGTTTGCCTTTGCAGGTTGAGCCCTTGGTTGGGTAACCTGTGATAGCTTTACTGAGTGCGTTGATGCACCAGAGGCAGGTGCAAGCCTATGGTGATTACTTTGTGGCCAGAAGCAGACAGTTTGATAGCTTCCATTCTTACTTGGGAAATTGCAAACCCAATTATTGATCAGATGGTTATGCAAATGCTTTCCAAAGCAAGCTCAAATGTTCCCTCTGTAATTTAGCCTTGCAAGTAACCAGTTGCCTAGAGTTAGAAACCATTTACCAGAGTGAGTAGCAAAGACTTCAGATTATGTTTTACTACTTGTGTGGAGAAGGTGGAATGGGAGGGACAGTGATAGGCTGGTAAAATTGGGCTCTTATATCCGGGGCAGGTAGAACCATGAATTTCACCTTTTCCAATGTAAATTTCAAGACAAGTTTCCTGTTCTCCCTGCTTTATTGAAGAGTGCTTGCAAATGAAATTCGGATAATACTTGGATCCATATTGTACGCCTAGATACTGATAGAGTAGCTTTATGTTTATCACTTTAATTCTGAAAAATCCATATTCCCTACTCTGGTTATGTTAGAATGTGGGGCATAAAACAGGTGACCTGTCAAGAATAATACATAGATTTGAGCAATGAATCATAACTTTTTTTTTTTTTTTTTGTATCACAGGCACTTTTGAGAATCTGAGGAAAGCGCACACACACACACACACACACACACACACACACACACACACACACACTTATTTGCACAGCTTGCATCTTGTTTTTGGTTGCGCGCAGCCTTGGATTTCTGAAACCTTTCTGAAATCTAGCAATGACATTTAACTATAGATTAATAACTACTGAATTAAAACATCTTAGAATCAAAAGGGGCCTTAAAGTCAACTAATTTGGACCCTATGGGATCCGAGGCTGAAGAACATTTAAAGCAGTCCAGAGTGATTTGACTTGAAACTATTTATTTTATGAGAATGCTGCAAGTTGAAGCAGAGATGAAATGACCACTCAAGGCAAAATAATATATTAGCTCCTAAGGTGAAATTAAAGTAAAAATGCTTATGCCGTTAATTCTCTCCTTTGGTTACATGAAGGGGGCACTTTGAAAGATGGGATATTTCTGTTATCAGACCCGAACCTATGGGATTCTGCTTCTAGCAGTAATTCAAGGATAACAGACACAGCTAACTTCAGCCTCTTCATTGTCCAAAGCTGCAGTAATTGCTAACTTTTGCAGGAGACTCCCCGGGTGCCTTTCTGGTTATTTCTAAGAATGGCAAAGTTTTAAAAAAGTTAATTTAATGTACAGTTTAAAAACCCGTAAAACTTGAAGTCCATAGATAAAAAGCTTGTGCTTCCCTTTGTTAGAATTATTTTTGGATACATTTTTGTTATCATGCAGAATTGTCCACTAATATTGCTTTGCCCACCTGTCCATACATACACCCATAGACGAACATACTCTGAGAAAGGAGGATGCCTTCTCTAGTGTAGGAAATTGTGCTACATGGCCACGTGGGTCCAAAAGAGTGGGTGTTTTGTAGCACTTTAATAACCTTCTAAGAAATATGACTTTGTGAGTCCATGAAAATTGCTAGTCAAATACACTATTTGTATGCAATATTTACAATACACACCTCAGCATTCTTAGTTTGATTCAGTAGTTAGATTGTACCTTGAGACATCAGATTTAATCAGTTTTTTCATTATTTTTAGGTTATGTAGCCACACGTTTTATTCAGAGGATAGAATTTTTCACTCTCTTTCCAAAATCAAACAGTGTGTGTTTTGATTTAATTCCATAGAACAACTTTACACAGGCTTGGGAAGAATTTTCTTTTATTGGTTCTGAGTTTACCATCGTCCAGTCTCCCGACCCTTTATTTACTGAGCATTCCTGGTAATTCTCTCTCACTAATTACAGGCCAAAGAGGAAGAAGTCCATCAGATGCGCCTTGACATTGGGAAGCTCAACAAAATAAGAGAACAAATCCATAAGAAGTTGCACCAGATTGAAGATCAAAAGGCTGAAGTGGAACAACACAAGGAAACCCTAAAAAATCAGATTTTAGGATTGGAGAGAGGTCGACCAAGAACCATTTTATGCTTTGTTTTATTCATTTATAAACATTGCATGGGTCACCAATGCCATCTAACAACCCAGGGCTCCGTGTGTACAAACACAAACCATGCCAAATGAAATTAGCAAAACAAACAACATTCAGACTGGTCAATAGCCAGTACAGAGGGGACATCATTTTAAATACCTGGTGTGACATCTTAAAAAACTCTTCAACAGATATATTGGCACGATGTAAATCCAGCTCAAAATATTTTCACTGGTTGTCAGTGGAGTAGTAACACCTGTGTATACTCTTAGATATGGGGTCGACATGACCTTTAGCTTTAACCCAGTTTTTCCACAGAAAATGAGGGGATGAATGAAGTAAGTGTCCCCCATTAGCAGTATTTGGGACATGATGTACCAAGAATCAGTGGGATAAAAATGAAATGGCTTCTAACTTCATTTCTCCATTAAGTACTTTACCATATGATGAACCCCTGTTTTACTTAGCTGTAACACTGACCTGTGGGAGAAAATTTAAATGTCATAGGAGCCATATAGACAGCAGAGTCGTTAATGATACAAACTCTGGAGTCAGATCTGTCTGGGATCAGATCCCACCTCTATACATATGGTTTTTGGGGGATGACATGAGATAATACACATAAAGCACTTGTGAACAGTGCCTAGCACATAGTAAGTACTTACTAAATGTCATCTTTTATTCTCCAGTGATATTACTATTTTCTGAATAAGAGTATACTGTAGAATACGGTATACCAGTCAAATTTGGTGTGGCAGAGCCAGTTCTGGACTTGGAGACAAAGAATCTGGGTATGAATTCTGACTCCATCAAAGTATGTGAGGCAGGAACATGCCACCTGCAGTGACTTTGTAAATCCGTGAATGAGATAACATGCATTAAAGCATGTACACATGCTTTCACTTCACCAAACATTAGGCAAAATCTAAATCTTTAGATAAGATTATTAGTACTATTTGTTACTTAAGTCTTTGAGAAGTTATTTTTCTTTAGCAGTTGTAGCTTATCTTGACACTTTCTCCATCCATTCAGTGAATTGAGTGTATACTATGTGCAGGCACTATGTTAGCCACTGGGTGTATGGAGATCTCTGCCCTCAGGGTGCTTACAATCTAGCGTGAGTTTATAATCTAATGTTTCCTTTGACAGATATGAAGACAACTGGAAATATTAGAGCACATTTTGTAACTGGCTGAGTGACTATCAAAACATGGCCCGTATTTAAATTTCTGTATTTTCACTTGCAGTAGTTTTAAGCTTTGAAAATTTTTTTTTATTCCATTCCATGTTGCATACAATTCTTCATCCCTAAATCATGTTTACAGAAGTGATCATATTCTCTCTTCGTGTTATTTTATAGATACCATCATTGTTATTTCTTCATAGGGACCTCTTCCTTTCGATGCACCTGATCAAAGAGTGGCATTTGGGATGATAGTTGGGAGCATGGGTCCTCCATAAGATATGATTTTCTACCACAGAACCCAAATAAATGAACTGAAAAACTACTAGACCTAACAAGAGAGTTCCATAGGGTGGCAGGTTAGAAAATGACTATATAGATATCAATAGCTTTCTTTCATACAAAGAATCAGAATATATGATGGGAAAACCCCTTTTAGAATAGCAACCAAAGTAATAAAATAGCTATGAATAAAATCAGCAAGCTATCTGTAGGACCTAGATGTATAAAAAAAGCTACAGAATGCTATGGAGGGTTATAAAGGAAGACTTGAAAAAAGGAGCCATATACCAAGTTGCTAGGTGAGAAAACAATATGATAAAGATATAAATTCTATCCACATTAAGCTATGCATTTAATATTTCCAATAGAACTTTTAGTAAGTTTTGTTGTTTGGAACTTGAAATGTGATTCTATAGTTCTCCCAGAGGAACAAACGTGATAGTAGCTATAAAATTCTTGAAAAGGAAGAGTGATGAGGGAAGCATTGGCCTTACCAGGCATTTAACTGTATTATAAAACTTCAGTAATCAATAGTGTAGCAATGATGTCCACATGACAGGTCAGTGGAAAAGAATAGAAAGCCAGAAAAAGCCCCAAGATTATCACTTAAGATAAAGGTGTTGTTTCATAACAGTGAAGTATGGATTATTAAAAAGTTTATATTATGACAGTAAGCTCCTTTTTGGGGAAAAAAAGGTCTCTATTTCACTCCTTTCACCAGACTGTATTTCAATAGATGGAGGCGTTAAATTTTAAAAAGTAAAATCACAAAATAGTAGGATAAAGTATAAAGTTAACATTAAATGTAGAAACCATAAAGCCAAGATTGAAAGATTCAATGAAATAAAAATTTCTGTGCAGCAAAGCACTCTAAAAAGAAAGGCAAATTGGCTAAATTATTTCAGTCAAAGGCTTAGTATCCTTATGTGTAAAGGATTCTTACAAATCTACAGAAAGGATAAACAGTCCATGAGAAATATGTGTAAAGGACAAATGTGGGCAATTAAAACAACAGAAATACAAACGGGTCATTAAACAGGAAAAAGTAGACAACTTCACTAATCAAAGAAATGCAAATTAAAGACTTTTTTTTAAAATCTATCACTGCCAAAGATGAAAGAGAATGTTAATACCCAGTGGTGGTGTGAGTGTGGACATAAATTACTATCAAGTGTCTGGAGAAAAATTGGCAGTAGGCAAGAAATACCTTAAGATAATACATCCCCTTTGATCCAGAACTTTCTCTTCTAGAGGAACAGATGAATTAGTACTTTCACAGGTGTATTGCTTATAATTGCAAAAAAAATTTGGAAGCAACTTAAATATTGAAAATGAGGTATTGGCTTAGTGAAGTATGTATTTTCGTATAGTGAAATACCGTGAAGCCGTTTATAATATAAAAAGGCATTTGTTCTATATTCATTAGTGTAAAAAGCATGCTGCAAAACAGTATGCTTTTGGTATGCACACACACACACTTGCATAGGCAAAAATCTGGAAATAGACAAATTAAAATACTAAGTAGATTTAGGTTGATTTAAAAATTTTCCTTTTGCTTATCAGTATTTCTAATTTCTTTCTGTATTTCCGATTACTTATATAAGAAACGGGGTTAAATAGAGCCAGGGCTTTTTGGAGCTAGAGAAACCAAGCTTCTACTCACTGTCCCTTCCTAGTTGTGGACTTCAGGCATATGGCTTAATCTTGCTGTGCCTCAATTCCTATCTGCTTATTGGGACAGTAAGACCTATGTCACTGTTATAGTGAAGATCATGTAACAATAAATAGTAGTTTAGGTGCTAACGGTTAACTTGCTTGGCTGCTAACTGAAAGGTTGGTGGTTAGCGTCTACCCCGAGGTCGGAAGAAAGGCCTGGTGATCTACTTTTGAAAAATCAGCCATTGAAAACCCTGTGGAGCGCGATTTTACTCTGACACATACAGGGTGGCCATGAGTCAGAGTCAACTTGATGGCAACTGGTTTTATAGCTACAGATAAAAATTTAAAACAGTTTTTGTATTACCTTGGGGTTGGTGGATTCTTTCTTAGATTGACGCTATACTTGCTATTATTTCCTCCTCTGGTGATTTAGAGGTGGAGGCTTCAAAGAAACAAGCAGAACTTGATAAGAAAGCAATGGATGAGCTTCTGAGAGAAAGGGACATATTAAATAAGGTGAGTTTGTTACAGTAACACTGGTAAATGAATGCTTTCTTTAGTGCTATAATATCTGTCTATAACCAGTTGTATGGGGAAAGAAAACTTGGAGGCAAACAAAAGTAGATTAGAATAAATAGTAGTGCTCAGTTTTCCTCTAAGCAGCTGCCTCCAGTCTGCCATTCCTTGCCAGTGCGTGGAAATTGCATTATCACCTGTGAACACAAAGGGACTTCGGAGAATTAGCACATAAAGCAACAGGAGATTTAAGAGTGTTTGGTGGATTCTGTGTTTATTGCTGGTGTGTTATTTGGCATCCTAAGCAGTTGATCAAAATTTCTCAATTTAATATCTCTAATCTACAACTTTTGCTAATCCAGAATATATAAGTGAGTGCTAATAAAATTCATTATTATTATTATTTATTTTTTTTATGACCCATTGGTGATATAAAAAGTCGCTCATATTTCCTCTGCCTTCTCAATATTGTTGTAAGTTTTGCTTTTTGTTGTTGGTGCTTAAGCCTTCTAGCGATTCAGCTCGGTATGGTCCAGTGCTGTAGGAGAGGTTTGGGGAAGTTTGAAGGTAAAAGCTTGGAGAGCCCTCCATTCAAGACAGGGTGTCATAGCGTTCCAGAGGGATTCTGTCCACTGGTAGTCACCTTCAGGAGATTATCTACTTTCAAGGATTTGGGGTAAATTTTCCCTGTTCAAGGATTTCCTCCAGGGAAGAAGAAGAGACAGGCCAGGTGCAGCTGAGTGGGGTCAGAGGCTTCTTCTCTAACAATCTGTTGGCTTTTGGCCAAGACGACTTCATCTCATCAAAGTGGAAACAACCTATCTTGTTCATTCTGACTCATTATTTCGTTAGGTTTCCCTGAATTGAACAGATGGTAACAAAATAGACTACCCTTTAGCTTAAAGTAGGCTATTGAGGGAATCTCAGGAAATGCTAGGAGATTAGATATCTTTACATGTTAAGTGCGTCTTAAGAAAGTCATTGAATTTTTTCTTTTTCTTCTTGGCGTAATCCTGGAAACTGCCTTTATTCTATAAATTTGTACATGTAAACAGTATTATTGGATTTAGATTTTTAAATTTATTTTTCACTCATACAACACTTAATCAGTTTATATTTTGTATATACTGGTAAACAACCAGGATGTTTTCTACCACTATAGGACATATAGCACAACAGTAATTTTACATTTATTTGTTTGGTTTGATTAATGTCAATAGGGCAGGAACTTTTTCCTTTCTTCCTTTCATGGCCATTGTCTCCTTAGTGCCTAGCTCAGTGCCTGATCCTCTGCAGGTATGCAGTCAACATTCCTTGAATAACACACTCTTTTCCCACTGATTTGAGATGCCGCTTCATCGAATGAAAGAGTATCATGGTTTGACAGGTAGCAAAGTTAATATATTTTGGTTCTTTCGTTGTCGTGTTGGAGTGGCTTTGTCTTCTACAAATGTTTAATACAATACCTGAAAATAAAGTTGACCTTTTCTGTTTTTTACATCATTGCCAGACCAAGGTTTAATTTGCCTTTTACCTGTTTGGAGTTCAGTAGCTCTCAGACCTGGCTGTGGGTCTGTATTGGTTAGAGATTTGGAAGGAGAGTAAGAGGTGTGTCGTGGACCCTGAGGACACAGCTAGGCCTCAGGAACGGATAGATGCCTGGCATTCTTGAGATGTAGAGAAAGCCCTCTCTCCCCTCCTCGAGGCTTCCTGCTGAGTTTCTGCCTATTTCTCTCTTTCAATGAAGACTCTCTCTGTTTCTCAGTCCAGAAAAATGGCTGCCACCAGCAGCTCCCAAGTTTACATCTTTTACTGAGTTCCAAAATTCTGAAGGCCCTATTTCAAAATTCCCTGGGAAGGGTCATTTGGTCCATCCAGCTATGACTGGAGAGGTGGCACTCTTACCTGAGCATGGCTGCCAGAGTGGCACTGCTGCTAACCCTGTGTTTCTGGGGAGCTTGGCAGCCAACCCAGGCGTTTCCATTTCAGCATCAGAAGTCACCAGTGCAGCTTTTAAAAAAAATACGGGTGCTTGGGTGCCAGCCCAGACCCACTGAATCCAGCATCTCTGGAGTTGGGACTTGGGTATCTGCATTTTTAATAAGCTCAAGTTATTTTACTTCCTAGTCAGAGATCAAGATTCATGATTAGTTTCAGTTGTTCTAACTTCACACACACAGAGGCACACACACACACACACACAAAGGCTAGAGCTTCGTGGAAATTAAGAGCATGGACTTTGGGGTCACCCAGCCCTGAGTTCAAATCCTGACTCTGCCACTTCTGAGTAGTATGACCTAAGGCATTTTAAGCAAGTAGCTTAACCCCTTTCCGTCTCAGTTCCCTTTCCCTAAAATGGGAAGGACATAGTGCCTACTTCTTAGGGATGTTGTGGTCATGTGGTGCATTTCTATGTGTGTTTAAAGTGTCTTGTGAAAAATTAACATAGGCAGCTCTTAATAAGTTTTAGAGAATATATTTATTTTTATTCATCCAAAAGACAATGTATCTAATTATTTTAAGGATGAGGCAAGGGCTTAAAAAGTCCGTAAACATTGTGAGTAACGTGGCTGCTTTGTTGTCTGTATTGTCAGAATATGCTTAAGGCGGTCAGTGCGACCCAGAAACAGATAGACCTGGTGAAGCTCCATGAGCAAGCCAAGAGGAACCTGGAGGAAGAAATCCAGAATTACAAGGAAGAGGCTCAGAAACAGAGAAAGATCATCTTTCAGCTGGAAAAGGAGCGAGATCGGTACATCAATGAAGCCAGTGACCTTACCCAGAAGGTAAGCCCCTCCTCGATGTTGTGGGGGGTGGGGGGAAGGCACATTCCTCTGCATTCCTGATTGTCACAAACTGTTGCAGAGATGGTTTATTCAGATTTCAGCTTGTGGTTTGCAGAGGTTTAAGAAGACTGATGTTGACAGAATCAAAGCTGTCCTAGAGCTAGTTGTGGGCCAGATTGTGTGATGGATAAGGCTTACCCTTGGTGTTCTCCCATTTCCTTTTTTCTGGACCCCTCTCCCAACTTCTGGGTGCTCCAGATACTCTCTCTCTTTCCTGGTGCACTGCCGTGCAGCATCCCTTCTGGGCTGGGCTCACCAGGGCCATCAACATCACCAGCTCCCAACTCCTTGTTCTCACTCCCACCTGTCACTGAATCTCCTGTCCCTTCAGATCAAGCCTTCCACTTGGTTGTTAGGAGAAAACACCTAATTAAATCAGCTTGAATTAAGTTGTGAGTGACTATTGGCATCAGTTAAATGGGCCACATATTCAAAGAGCATTTTTACTTTAAAACTGTTAGGGTTGGGGAACCCAGGGTGGAAAGGGGGACATTGCTGACACATTGTGGGGATTGTAGCCAACGTCACAAAACAATTTGTGTGTAAATTTTTGATTGAGAAACTAATTTGTGCTTAAACTTTCACCTAAAGCACAATAAAATAAAATAAAAAAACAACCCAAAAAACCGTTGCAAACATAAGGCCTCCAGGCGGTGCAAATGGTTTGTGATCATGTACTAACCTAAAGGCTGGTAGTTAGAACCCACTCAGCGGTACCACAGAAGAAAGGCCTGGTGATCTGCTTTTGTTAATATTATAACCAAGAAAGCCCTATGGAGCAGTTCTACCCTTTAACACGGGGAGTCACCATGAGCTGAAAGTAGCTCCACAGCAATGGTTTTTTTGGTTTTTATTGTGAACCTAAACCCCCACCAATGGTGGAAATCCACATGCTAGGTAGCTGAATTCCAGATCTCTTCTATCGTAAACTGCTTAAGAGGTGGAAGGCCTTGGGCAGGGATTTCAGGGATTTGGATTTTACTTTAACCAGTTGTCTTAGCACGTTGCCTACATTAAGCACGAGCAGTTGAATTAATACTCTCTTTAGTGTGTTCCTAGATGGTATAGAGCAGTGGTTCTGGGATGGGGAAAAGCTTTAGTTATGAGGCTGAGAATTGAGTTGGGAGAAAAGCCTTATTTAGTGAGTATTTAGTGAGTGCGTTGTGTGCCATGCAGCGTAAGCTCTCTCTTCCACATCCTCACTGAACTCTGCAGTGAATTCTACAGCGCTCCCCAATGCTCTCGCGTGCTTAAGTCTTGGTTTGTTTTTCGGAGTGGAATCTCAAAGAAGATGACAAAGGGGATAGCCGACATTTGAGTTATAAACAGAAAGACAGTGGGAAACAAGCTTTACTAACGGGAAACCAGCTTCTTCCCGCCTAGACTAAATCAGTGCTGAACAGATATTTACAGAATGTAGGATTGAACACATATGCTCAGTCCAGCCCTGGCTAGATGTCTCTTCCTTGTAAAGATCCCCAGGGGATTCTCATACCCTCGACTGGGAACCATCAGAACAGAGCATAGTTCTCTTCTGACTCGGTCAGTCTAGGCGCCCCATTGATTGATTTACTGACTTTGGGAGGACTAGAGGTCAGTTCAGGCCCTTGTGTTCTTTAGCCTGGACTAGCACATTAGCCTTTGTAACAAACAATCTGTAGCAAATAATTTCCAAACCTCAGTGGTTTACAGCAATAAAGATTTAATTTTGCTCACATCATTGCTTTTTGAGGGTCAGCTGCAGCCCTGCTTCACGTCCTCTCCACTCCTGGCTGACACTGTCTGGGATGTGCTGGCCTCTGGAAAGGAGGTCAAGGGTGAAATAGGGGAACGCTGAGATACTCGGAGAGCTTCTGATGTGAAGGGAAAGGCACAGGGCACCCCACTCATATTCCATTGACCAAAGCAGCCACATGGCCAAATGTGACATCCCTGGGTAGGAATATGACTGTCCTAAGGGAGGGGCCCTGACGGGCCCTGTGGAGTGGGATGGCAATATATTCAAACATATAATACAATCTATTGGAGCCTTCTACTTCTCCTTCCTCTCCACTCCAGGCTGCCATCACACCACCATTGGAGCTAACTCTTAATAAATCCCAAGCTGGTCTAATTATTACTCCTGGTTTACAAATCTCTGTCAACTCTCAGTTCCCTGGGGCAGTGTTTCCCAACATTTTACATTACAGAACATACAGAAAATAACATATCCGTGATACGTGGAAATAAGGAGAAAAGGCTGCTCAGGACTGGAAGGGATCAACCTGGCTGCTCTATAATAGAATCACTGTTGTGGCACACACCTGTAATCCATGCAAGGCATAGCTTTTGGGATACTCTGATCTGTGGGATAAAATCTTTCTGTATTCTCCCTGGAAAGTTCTTCCTCCCCTTCTGTGTATGGCAACCTTCTGTTCATCCTTCAAGACCCAGTTCAAATGCCCATCTCCTTGGTCAGGCCTACTCTGACTCCCCAGGCTGAGGTAGTCACTCCCTACTTTATGCTCCATGAGGAGTTGTTGATATCTCTAGAATGTCAGTTATCATTGTCTAGATTAGTTATATTTCCTGCATCCTGGCACATAAAAGGCACCCCAAATGTTTGTAAACAAATGGATAAATGATGAGTAGCAGAAAGAATGTTGACACTGATTTTAATAGAGAATTTGTCTATTTTTCTTGGTTTTCATGTAAATGAGAAATACTGGTACCAAGTTTTGCTGTTGAATGTATTTTTTTTTTTTACAATGTCTAATTTTAACTGCGCAAGTTTATATAATGTCCTACCTAAGTAATCTGAGCACAAGTTCTTCATATATTATTAATCAACAACAGTTATTATCTCTTACTTAAACCCTGATGGCATTTAGTCACTTGCTACAGTGACTTTGTATCATCTCTGAACTTCTGTATTAAGGATAGGAGCCCTGGTGGCGCAATGGTTAAGCACCCGGCTGCTAACGGAAGAGTTGGTGGTTTGAACCCACCCAGCAGCTCCAAGGGAGAAACACCTGGCGATCTGCTCTTGTAAAGATTACAGCCTAGAAGACCCTATGAGGCAGTGCTACTCTGTCACATGTGGTCACTGTGAGTCGAAATCAACTCAAGGGCACCTAACTGCAGCAACACACACACACACACACACACACGCACACACACACACACACTCTCTCTCTCTCTCTCTCTCTCTCTCTCATTCTGCAGACAGAAAGCTCCCTTTCATGCACAGGGGGCTGGGGAATAATACCAAGGGCTGCAGAAGATGTCATGAAACTGACATTTTCATGTGCTTTTAGAGTGAGTATACATCATTCCAAGTTTACCCTTTTGACCCAGCAATTTCTCTTCTAAAAATCTAATCTAAGGAAAAATAAGAAATACAAAGATTTTCATGAAAGAAAATTCTTCAAAGCATAATTTACAACAATAAAAAATAAGAATCAGCCCAAATGTCCAAAAAATGTTGTTGTTGTGTGCTGTTGAGTCAATTCCGACTCATAATGAGCCTATAGGACAGAGTAGAACTGCCCCATAGGGTTTCCAAGGCTGTAAATCTTTACAGAAGCAGACTGCCACATCTTTCTCCCACAGAACGGCTGATGGTTTTGAACCACTGACCTTTTGATTAAAAGCCAAGCACTTAACCACTAAACCCCCCAGGCTCCTTGTCTAAAAAATAGGAAAGTTAAATAAATTGTGCTACATTTATCTGATATTAATATTATGTAACTGTTAAAATCATATTTTCGAAAACTGTTTTTTGAAGTGGGGAACATAATCACAACATGAATCTGATAAAAACAATGCAAATTTGTTTATATGGTTTGACCCCAATTTGGTCAGTATGCAATGAAAAAAGTTTAGAGGTGTATGTCAGAGGGTGGTTATGAGGATTAAATGAGCTAACATTTGCGAAATACTTAGACTAAATTTTGTTACATAGTAAATGCTGTGTAAGTTTGTGTAAATAAATAAGATACATCGATAAATAAATTTGTTGATGGATAGTCCAGAGTTTTTCCTCAGGATGGCATCTGAATATAGCTGTTCCCAACTTCTTGCTAAGATCAGTAAGGTGCAGAAAAAGATGAAAACCTTGAATAGAATCAAACACTTAAGACTGACATAAAGCCTAATGCCAAAATATGAGATAAGGGAATGGATGAGAATTATAAAGCCAACAAGGCTGAATTGAGAAAACCTACTTGGACCTCAACTCCTGGTCTCTTATTAAATTTGCTTCATGAAAGAGACTATCTGAGAAGAGCTAGAAGGGTGCTTCAGAACTCTCCCACCATCGCTTCCCTGACTCAGGGTCACTTCATCTTCCTGCAGTTAGGCAAATACTCGTTCCAGAGAACAAATGCGAAGGCAGAGGGGAAACTGGTTGTGACCCAGACCATTTGGAGGATTGTGGCGTAGAGGTGTGATAGGGTGGAGAGAGTCAACCCTGGTAACAGGACGTTCTAGGAATTACAATTCTTCATATGCTACATCAGCTCAGAGTGAAAGAGAATAGGCAGTTGGGCATGGGGTATGATACTGGTTTTGGTTCTCTGGCAAACTTTGATATACTTACCATTATTTGCGTATCATCCTCATTCTATCTGATGACTTCTGGAAAGACAAGTCTTAAAGTTTTACTTGAGTTCTTTATGATACTTGTTTACTAAATAGGTACTCAAATATTTTTTTGAAAGAGTGAATGAAGAGCATATTTGGACATCTGAATTAACTGTTCCAAGACTTACAATTAGGAATCTGTATTAAATTCTCCTTTAAGAATATATTTACTTATCCCTGTAGTTCTGTCCTCCCTTAAATTCATTTGAAACGTGTTATCATGATGAAAGATCTTAACTGATTTATCCTCAGCACTTTTAGCTGTGAATGACAGCCGACATGGTCTCTTCTCCCTTCTGGACTGCAAAAACAGTCTG